CAAAATAACCAGATAGCACAGAGGAGAGTTCTAGTGCACTCCCCTTGATATAAACATTTTGAATGGGAGGGGGATGATTCTTAACAACGAAGCATCCAAGTATGTGTTCCTGCTGCTTGCATCTGAAATAGTATGGCCTGCAAACAGTTTTGTCCTGTCATTTGCCATTACTTTTTGAAAGATGGGACAAAGCCAGATGAGGAGGAAAATTGGGATTTATTCACTGTTTTGGCTATCACACGATTTTATTTTATTATTCTGTTCTATTTTATTTTTTGTGTATGATCTATTTATGTGTAATTTATATGCTACCAACCAGCTGTATTCCTTCCTGGCCACTATTACCTGCTTACCTACTGTAACATAGTGTGTATTGAGCTGCCTTTGAAGTGTCATTGAATGCATTTTGCTTTGCTTTTTGTTTCTCCTTACCTCGATATATTTGCATCTTATTTTCTGTAAGTATATTCATTTATTATAGAGAAAGACCCAACAGTTTATTTGAATGCTTGGTTTGCTTCAATTAGATTCTCAAGTCACTGGCACTAAGTTGGAATAGACTAGTTCATTTTCCTGTTGCTTTGATGAACAACATTGCATGTTTTGCTATTTTGGTGAGAACATTTTGAATTGATATAACTAACGTAGCATTTTACTCTTTTGTTTTTCTCTATCCTCTAATCTCCAGTATCAGTGCTGGAATTGTATTGTTGTTCTACTGAATCAGCATCCTACGTTGTTCTGCAAGCATCTGATGCTGTATTGTACCCTGATAGCTAACTGGAAAAATACTGCACTTTTTCTCACTAAAAATATTAATCATAATCCTATATAAAGGTGAGCATTCATGATAGCCTATGGGAATTTATTTTACTTATCACTGGTCCACAGTGACCTAGTTCATATCAACAAACATGGATATTTGGAGGACTAGCCACATGAGCCTGCTCAACCCACTGTGGTATAATCATCAGAGATCCTGCTTCGGGTCTTGTCCCATAACCACTGGAGATTTGTTCTGTGGCACAGGCAGGGTCTTTTATGTTGCAGTATGCAGCCTATGAAACTCCTTACTCCAGCAGGTCCAATTAGTCACCTGTTTTATTGGCATTTCAGCCTGCAGTCAAAAAGCTTCTCTTTCTCGGTGCTTCTCATTTAGCTCAATTACCTCTGTTCTCTGATGTTAAATAGTTCTTTAGTTTTTATTTTACTGGACTGAAACGGGGAGCAAAAGCGGATAAAAGCTATGTATGGAGTCCTCTGAATAAGCCACAGTTGCGGTGGGGAGAGAAGACATGAGTCCCTTGAGACCAAGGTAGAAAGAGGGTTTCTGGAACTTGCAATTGAGTTCCTCTCAAAAGGCCAGAAGTGGCTCATTCATTAGTTATTCTCTAATCCAAGTCAGTATTTTTGCTAAAGCTGCATATAGGTATAAAATAAAACCTAGATTGAGTCATGTCTTTAGACTTCGTTACAATTTGAACTGGCCTTGTACATTTACTAATGTAAAATGTAACACAGATAAACTAGATATTCCAATAAACAATAAACTGAGTAACGAGAATGTATTTTGGTTTTGGTAGCTTTTTATGAAGTACTAGTGGAGATATTTGGGTTTGATAAAGCCTTTCTGTTACAGATACCATTTTCATGCTTATGTATAATCAATGTATATCAATATAAACTCTTTGATTCTTGTTGGATTCTTAAAAGTTAAAAAGGATATTTTTCATAAAAGCTCAGAAAAACTATCAAATTATTTTGTTATATTTTGCACTAAATTGCTCTTATGTCTTGTAATAGCTATGAATGAAACTGAATTTTAGTTAAGTGAAAACCTGTTTTCCATAGAAGAGGTTAAAAATGAGATGTGACTTGTCTCTCTTTGGTTGTTGACTGAGCTGGAGTGATGCAAATTCACAAATATCTTAAGTGGTAAGGGGAAAGTATTTGCAAATAGCATGGGTTGTGTGGAAGAAATCAAAAGTTTGTTTTGATAGGGGGTCCTCTCCAAAGACAGAAGAGAATTTGCCTTGTCCACTCTTAGGAGGAAAAGGGAGAGAGATGCAAGGGCAAGCTGGAAGAGGGCCCAGGGGCAGAACAGTCATGTCAGTATGGAGCAGTTGGAGAAACCTGATTTACCTGATTTGCTAGTGCATGCAGGTTCGTTGTCCCAGTTTGGTTCCTCTTGAAAGACCAAGTCAAAATGTGAATGCATAGAGGCCAAGTTCAATGAGGAACGTCAAGATCTCTTCTTGCTAATACCAGAGCGTAGGACACGGAATAATCAAGTCCAGCTGTGACAACCCAGGTTCAGGCTAGATATCAGGAAAAGCTTCCTCATTATCAGAGCAATACGACAGTGGAACCAGCTGCCTAGAGAGATAGTGGGCTCTCCCACACTAGAGACATTCAAAAAGAAATTGGACGGCTATCTGAGTGGGATGGTTTAAACTGGTGTCCTGCAACAGCAGGTGGTTGGACCTGATGACCTTTATGGCCCCTTCCAACTCTACTATTCTATGATTCTATGATAATGTGTCCACAATGTATGAGTGTAAATGTGTTTATTGCCTGCATTGCATAGAGTTTAATCCATGATGTCATATTCGGAACTTGCATGCTTCTGGTGCATGAATAAATTTGTAAGCACTTTAATTCTTCTCTCTGTATGAAATTCCTGTTGTTGTTGTTGTTGTTTAAAATAGTTTAAAAACTGGCCGAGTCCAGTCGGTGATAGGGAATAACTGAATGCTAATACAAGTTCTGGTCATAGACTTATACTATATAATAAGGATTTTGTGTTGATTCCAGTAAATGGTGAGCATTCTGAATGGATGTCATACCCTAAAATAGCACTGGGCAACTTGAAACTCTTCAGGCGTTTTAAGCTACAACTCCAATCAACCCTTACTATTAACAATACAGCCTATGGCTGATGGGAGTTGCAGGCCAAAACATCTGGAGAACCACAAGTTTGCTATAAAATATTTTTGTTGATAGCATATTTATGAGACTACTAAAATTCAAGTGGTTTGAAACTGATTTTTTGAAAGTTGGTGGTAGTGAAATGATAACATGAAATAAATGCCACTTAGGGCTGTATTTTGTGTAAATTATGAACTGAATGAAAGCCTGTAAAAAGGATTGCTAGTATTTTACTTTTTAAGGGATGGGCAGATTGTACCATTTTTTAATATATTTTATACAACTCCAGATGTTCAAGGCTGAGCTTTTGCATAGCAAGCAATACATCTGCAAGAAAATACTAAAGCTAAGGGACAACTGATCTGGTTGATCCAGGCCTGTTATCTTGGAGAACATCTGTGTGTACTCAGCATCATTCCATATTTGTTTGAACCGTAAGCCTAGGAAAGAAGGAGGGTGTGAGTTTCTGTCTTCTGAGATTAGTTGTGTTCCAGTTTGGAGCATGTGGGAGAGCTCTTTTCCAGCACACATTTGAATTAACGCTAATGCTTCAGCCGTGCTTGAATTCTGGCTGTTAGCCCAGTGCCCTACTTTCTAGGGAAAGAAAAGAATCCTTACTACCGACCCTTCCCCCTGCACATTCTTAATGAAATTTTGTTTTAATGGGAAGCTTATCATCATAAGCTAAATAAGTGATGTGTATGTAAACTGGGGACATCAGATTAGTTCTTTTCACCTTGTGTTTCATGACTTGGGGAACATTTGCTCATGTGTGTTTAGCATGGAGCTGTTCTAAAGCTGTATTCTGCTCTGAACATGTAGAGGAATTACTGTGTAAATGATGAGGCTGATACCCAAAGAACTAATTTAAGTATGATCAAGGACTTGCTCACACTCAGTAGGATATCAATGCATTCCTTTGAAAAATAGGCTTCTATGTTATATCATGAAGAGTTTTCAAAACTCCTCTGGGATTTCAAAACAACAGGGGGACTACTCAGAATAGTTTGGTATGTGGAACTAGCTATGCAGCTCTTTACATCTTCCTAACTTGGGCAATAGCATAGATGTAATTATACCTCCTGTACAAAAAAAATCAGGGAACGTGTGGAAATGAGCACAGATGGTTTGCTCTATGTTTTTCTTCCTTTATGTTTATTTTTAATTCTTGCAGCCATATATCTGCTTGAAAGTATCAAATACAAATTAATGAAACCAGTAGCACCTATTTACAGTTGTATAGAGATGGAAATTAAAATAGATCCTTTTACTGATTTCCAGATAAGAGATTCTGTAATACACTTAATGTAGTACCTAAACCACACATTGAAGAGAGAAAGACAAATAAAACTAAGATAAAATAAATGAAATATCATAGGGTTTGGGGGGTTGGGGGTTGGATAAAAGATACATGACACTAATGAAGTGTATATCTCTATGCATTTATATATAGCAAAACATGTTACTGTTATTAAAGATAATTATGCATACTTTTCTACAAAGGCAGCTCAAGTATCCATATATTTATCTGCTTGTGTATTATGCTTAAAGTCCGTCCAATTTATTAATCTTTCTACTTATCTTTCCAATGTTCTAGTATTAACTGTTTAACTGTTAAAGTGCATGGAAGATCCATTTAGGTTGCCTTTACATTAAATTACAGGAGGTAGGTAGATAGTTAAGGACATGTGTAGTGTTGATATTAAAGAACTTCCCATTGCAAAGTTACCTCTCCCAAAATGAAGCTGCAATTGGGCACTGCCCAAAAATATATAAAAAAGGGACTCATTCGTGGTAGTGTGGTATATTAAGTCAAATAAAAAGGTAGCTCTTTACTTTCATACTCTGTTTTGTTTCACAAAACCCTTTTAAAAATCTCCAGATTTTATTACTTTATAATTATTATAACATTTTATTTAAATAAATTATATTATGTAGAAATTATATTTCTAGTTTAGGATCATAAGTTTTGGATGTCCTAACTGTTGCAGGGAAAATTCTGAAATTAGTGATGGGATGTTTTCTGTGTTTTGCAATAACTAATACTGATTTTTTTTCTCCCCTTCTCCTAGGTAGCTGGTTAAATGCAACTGTGTCAGTAAGGAAGGAAAAGCAAACATGAGAGTAGCGGGTAAGAATAACAGTTGCTGTAATGAACAAGTGGTTGATTTGAGTAATACCAAGCAAATCTGCAAACTGAAACCTAGTCCTGCAGATAAGTTTTACATCTCCCATTTACCTTAAGTCTACATTCCACATAGCTCTTAAAGTTGAGTTTTTCAGGATTGCAATGGGCAACATCCATTCAGTTCTGAGGGATATAATGTTCTAAATCCAAGATTTGAAAGGTGGTCTGTTTTGTAATTTAGGAATAAGAGCAATTAGGAATTAAATTCATGCATTTTAGATCTGATATATTTTTAACATATTTGGAGTTAGGACAATGCAATTATTGTTATTATATCACATTTATATCCTGCCCTTTTCCTCTTGTGAGGAACCCAAGGTGGCTTGTACAGCAACATTTTATACTCACAAGAACAGCCCCGTGAGGTAGATTGGGCTGAGAGTGAGTGTCTGCCCCAAAGTCACTTAGTGAACTTCATGGCTGAGGGAGGACTAGAACCAGGATCTCCCAGGTCCCCGATCCTACACGCTAGCCACCACATCACACTGACTGTCTTTGGAACATTAAACTTGCTTTCCCCTTCATAGCATGAGAATTTCTCTGCTGCTCTTAACAAGCTGTCATACATAAGATAGAAATAAAAGCTTTATGACAGAAAACCTTTGATAAAGTGAATGACTTCCTTCTGAATGCAATCTCTTTTCTGACATATGAAATGTATATGTCAATGACTCTAAGTCTGTTGGGAAATGGACATTGGTAATATAGCACAAATGAGACTGTAACTAAAACCAGAATGGGAAAAAAGGTCTCTGTCTTCTCAAGAGTGCATCATCATCGTTGTTGTCGTCCGTCGTATGCATGGATGATTCATCAGAAACTAACTAAACCTGATGTAGACATAAGAAATGGTGCTGAATTGATTTTGCAGTATAGCAGCTATTCCACTTTCATTTTGGATGGTAGAAATAGCACTACGTGATAGCCAAGAAGGAAACTTTATCTATCTATCTATATAGATATAGATATATAAATATAAAATTTGTATGCCGTCCAATTACTAACGTCTCTGGACAGTTAACAGCATAAATAAATTGACGACTCACTCTGGCTGCAAAACCCACTCTGGCTGCAATATATATAATACTATATATGTAATACTATATATTATATAGTAACTAATATAAAGTAAAACCCTGCTATATGGTATGCTGTTCTACAAAACATCTTTTACCTGACAAAATCAGAGAAAAATGGCCTAAAGATTTCTTTCTAACAAGGAATCCTTTGAAAGCTTATACTGATATTAAAAAAAAAAATTGCTAGTAGCCCCCCTTCCCCATTTTGTTCACTATTTATTTCAAGATATTCCTAGGACACCCTTCTGGGGAAAGAGCCTTCTCAAGGCCAGCTTCCACAATAATCCCAAGCTAGTTTGGAGATGATTGTGGAGTAATACCCAGTAATACACAGGGGGAATTGTATTCATATGCTGAGCAGAATATTTTGCTATGCTGAAAAGTAAACAGTTGGTGAGAGACATATTTTTTCCTGTTCCTGGAGTAGGAGCTGCAAAATTAGTGGTAGCAGTAGCTGTGTTCCTGCTGACGTTTTATGTCATATCTCAAGTATTTGAAATAAAGATGGATGCCAATCTAGGGAGCCTGTTTGGTAAGTGATTTGCTTCTGTTGTTTTCCTCGCTTCCTTTTAGTCAGAATTACATTACTCAGTAGTGCAGTCCTATGTGTGTCCATCCAGAAATAAGTCCATTGAATTCAGTTGAGTTTACTCCCAGATAAATTGATACAGGATTCCACCCTCCATCCTACAGATGTTGTACTATTCCCATACTGACTGGAGGATGCTGGGAGCTGCAGGAATTATTTCCTATCTCAACATGGATTGGACTTTACAGCTACAGTATGCTTTGGCAGAATTACTTGTCTTCTGAGCTCGTTTTCTCACTTAAACTGTGATGCCATGGAGTTTGTCAAAACAAAGTATGGTGGTTCTGGCTTATGTGTGTTAAGTCAATGCAGTCTGCTTTAAATACACTTTTATTTTGTTTATAACTAATGCTTGACAGTTTGGGTTTTGTATAGGTTAAAATAAAATGGAGAAATCTTTATATTTTTCATTTAGTTATATCTGAAAGAAGCCTTTTAGAACTAAAATGACTCATTCCTTCCATTTGCCAAACAAAACCACACTTTGAAAAGCAGTGATATTAATTTGTAGGCAGTTTTTCATTCAGCAAAAAGCTCTACCTTTAAGTCTATGCACTTCATGAAATCTCCAGGTTTTCTAGGCCAGTCTCTTCTATTCTCAGAAACAGGTTAGAATTTTCAAGCTACCAGTTAACATGGTAGGCATTGAGATATTATGGGTTTGTAAAGAAAGGAATTAAGACATAACACAGTTTTTTGTAACCTTTGCAAAAAATTTTATTCTTTCAGCAAGGTCACCGTTGGATATACCTTTACGTTGTAAGTATTGCGTGGAAGAGCTTTTGCTTATTTGTGTTCTCAGTACTTAATGTTTCTGTAAAGCTGGCACAAGCTGCATGTTTCTAGGCCACCAAGAATCTCTCTCCATCATTCCTTCACCTTTCCCTATGGCTAGTCTTTGGTTGAGTAACCAGATAATGTCAGCACAGGTCTGTATGGGCCAATCAGAAAGCTTTGGTAGGTGTGTTACTGTTCATAACTTTTAGGTTGTATATTTCCTTCTTGCAAATCGCAGAATATAAATGTGAAGAAAAGAGAAATCAATGGACTAAAAATTGAAGAGAGGCAGATGATGTGCTAGAACAGGAAAGGGCAATATTTTGGGGGCATGTGACAATTTGTGAAACAGTTCCCTATAGAAAGACTGCCATTGGAGGCATGGCAAAAGACAATAAAACTGTTCAAAAGGTTGAGTCCAAGGTTGTGTGGGAAGGGTTCTGAGCTCCAGCACCTTAAACAAATCCTTTGAACCCTCATTGTACAGTACCAACAGAAATCTGTTTCACAGAAATCTCAGCTGCTAGGAAGAAAAGTAGTAGTAGTTGTTGTTGTTTTAAATGGGCATGGAATGGCACCTTGGCCAACACCAAGAATGTTGTGCAGAATACAGTGGGCACATGAGCAAAAGACTGAGTACCCCCCTGCCCCAGCTTCTCTTGGTTCTTTGATAAAGATGCTCCCGCATCTGGATCCAGATTGGAAATTAAGTTATTTAAATCTTAGTCCAGAATGTCTGAGACCTGCTTTAATTCAGATTACTTTTTCATAAAAGCAAAGAGGTAGCAGGTCCAATGTAATGCCATAGATGCATCAAAAAAGGAAAGTTTTCATCAGGCGCCTAAAACTCAATAAAGTAGATGCCTGACGAATTGCCAGAGGCAAGGCGTTCCACAGTATACAAGCCTTGAGCTCCCAAAGTTCCAAAAGTGGGTTAAAGGTCAATAAAATAACAGCAGCAGGACAATTGCCCTCCTGTCTGCACTCTAAATGACAGGAAATAAAATAAAAGTTATGGAGAGAAGGAAGGAAAAAAGCACGTTCTGCATCTTATTGTTAATTTTTCATTGGCCAAGGTGAGTGAGTAGTTTTTCTGGCATCACATAATCCATTTTCAGAAGATGTGTCCAGTGATTTAGTTATAAGAGTTATCTTGCAGATCAAATGGTAATTGTTTCCACAAAGTCTTTTGCAATCTGAGATTATGTTGTATTTTTTCTTTATGTAACATTTATATTTCCTTTTTCATAGCCACAAAACCCCCAAGATACAAATGTGGAACTACAAAAGCTTGTCCAGAGAATCATTTTGCTTTCAAAATGGCAAGTGGAGCAGCCAATGTTGTTGGACCTAAAATTTGTGTAGAAGATAATGTGTATGTATACATTGCTTTCTTTTCACATTGCTTTCTCCATGAAGATAGTGATAGCCAACTTGTGATCAGTCTTGAATAGAAAATATGCTTTGCACTTAATTTAACATGAAAACAAAAGCTGTGTTCCCTAAGTGCTTATAACCCTTTTTGCTACTATAAGATACTGGCAAACAACATCTGGGTTAAAAATAGAATGAATTTTGAATCTTCAGTGCTTATGGCTTTGCTTTTCCACCACCTATTACCATACTTTTTATTGCCAGTTAGCATGATGCCTCTTTCCAAATTCTGGTGGGCTGTCTCCTGAATATCCCCTCTGTTAATGAAATGGCTTCTTCTGGTTGAAATGTGACTGAGATCCTGTAAAGGTTATTACCAGAAGAAGGGAGAGAAGTAGTGCTTACAGTTTTCTCCTACTTCCCCCTCCATATCA